TATATATATATATATATATATTAGACAGACAGAATCTGTGTGTCAGGTTGAAGCTTTCTCTATCCAGGGACCCCCTGTCTGACTTGAAGTGAGAGTGTGAGAGAAGGAGAGCAGAGGTAGGAGCCAGGGAGATATAAGGCTGCTATTTTTAGACACGTGTTGCCATAGTGCATGGATAGGGGCTCGAAGGAGTTTACCTATGAATACAAAAAAGGAGTCGAGTGAATGCACCGACAATACTAAGATACGAACTGATTATACCGTGAAAGTAAAATCACTCAAAGTGTTGCATTTATATTTGTTTACAACAACTTTTCCATGTCTTTATCATGTTTCTTTACCACAGATGCAGGATTTTGCTGGTACAGTTATCGAGCATTTCTCAAGCCAATTTAATGATCCTTACACTGACTGAGATGCCCCTGAGTCGTATAGATCTCCTATGAAACCTTTCTATAAATATTCTGTTAAAGCGCTGCAGGGCGTGTTGTGACCCTGGTTTGTTAGTAACTATCGACTACAACCAAAACAAAAAGCTGGCGTAGTACACTTGAACGCCACGTGAGTTAACTGTGTTCATGTGTGCAAACCAACATGACTCTCCTGCATCACTAACAACATGATTCCCCATGAAGAATCATGTTGTCTACAGCTAGACAGCAACATTTGTATCAATCACTAGAAATGTGTGCTTTGGGAATCGAGGCCGTTTCTACCTAATGCACAGTGTTTGCCATGTTTCAGATGCCTGACACGTTTAAAACTCTTTCTGTTGACAGAGGGGGAGCCTATTGAAGCCATAGCCAAGTTTGACTACGTTGGGCGCTCCTCACGCGAATTATCCTTCAAGAAGGGTGCATCCTTGCTGCTTTATCAACGAGCGTCTGAGGACTGGTGGGAGGGGAGGCACAACGGCATTGACGGCCTGGTGCCACACCAGTACATTGTAGTCCAGGACATGTGAGTGATTGTTTTCTCATACCCATAGTATTTACTTGATATATCACCCTGGAGTTTTTAGATTAAGACTGAATGATTGAATTAAAGGTACCCGCTGCAAACAACGAAATCAGACATTTAAAAATCGTATCCCGATCTTTATCCATTGGTGCAGTTTGAAAGAGTTTACTCAAGCAGTTTACCAGAAATATTGATGTGCGATTCTGAAATGTGGGTATGCACTCAATGTAAACGTTCACCCTGCGAACTCTGCTGAAAACCATCTGAAAGCTTATTTACATACTTTACATTCTGAATGTCAATATGTACCAATACATTAGATTTGTTAGACATCTCCATGCCAATCGACTCTTTCATGGATGTCGCCATTGTTGACCTTTTCAGACATTTTGGCTGTTTTCAAAGGTAAACAAACACACATGGTAACTGGCAACCGTCCACAACTTTGCTTACAAATGTTTAAATGAAGGACACGTTAACAATCAATATGAAAAACAACTTGTACAATTTTTCTTTATGAATTTTTTCATACCTGTCTTTATGAGTTTGCAATGAGTACATTTAAATAAAAACTGAAAAAGTTCACATAAAACCCACATTCTTGCAGTGGATGTGTTTCTTTGGTTTTTTATGCAAATAGAAGAGCCTTATCATGCACAAAGCCTAAATTCATTCAACCTTTATTTATACAGGTTAGTCTCATTGAGCCACGAGGACTCATTTTCAAGAGAGACCTGTTTATGTTAAATGCTCTGTGAATATTAACTAGTCAAGTCACCTCTGATGACATAAGCTCTTAAGGTAGGCAGTTTTAAAGGATGAATTTGACATTTAGAAAATGTGCTAATTTGCTTTCCCATACTAAAAAATTTAATTTACCCCAGTCTGGTTAACATTTTTCGTCTTTGATCAACTGCTTTCTGACCTTTAAAATTTATCAGGCAACAAGAAAAGAACATTTTACTTATTTTAAAAAGTTACACCATTCATTTGAATTGCGAACGTCTATTTAGAATATTACTGTAAATGATTGTAAATGCATTTCTACAGTTGTGTATCTGTGGGGTGCCGTTTGTAAAGTTACAGAGTCAAAAATTAACAGCAATATTTTGTTTTAGGCCTTTCATGAGCAAAAAATTTTTTTTTAATTTTCAGTCAGATTTTCAGCATGTTATTCATACATTTATAAATGTCATAGTTCCAAACATTTTTTTTAATTTACAAGCTAAATATTTAGTTTACAAACTAAATACTTAACTTCCAAGTTAGATTTAGTTCGCAAGCTAAATATTTAGCTCCACAGTAAATATTTAGTTTACAATCTAAATACTTAACTTCCAAGTTAGATTTAGTTCGCAAGCTAAATATTTAGCTCCACAGTAAATATTTAGTTTACAAACTAAATGTTTATGTCCAAGCTAAATGTTAAGCTTACAAACTAAATAATACCTTGCAAGTTAAATATTTAGTTACTGAACTGAATATTTAATTGTAAATTAAATATTTAATTTCCAAGTTAAATATTTATTTTCAAAACTAAACATTTAATTTCTAAGCTAAACATGTAATTCATAAACTAAATATGTAATTTGCTAACTAAATATTTAGCTCAGACCTAAATATTTAATTTGATAGCTAAATATTTAACATGCAAGTTAAGTATTTAGGTCCAAGCTAAATATTTAGTTAAATTAAATATTTAGTTTAGGAATCAAATGTTTAGCTTAGAAATTAAAAATATTTAGTTCAAAAATTAAATGTTTAGTTTTGAAAATATTTAGCTTTGAAATTGAATATTTAATTTGCACCTAAATATTTAGTTCACTAACTAAATATTTAACTTGCAAGTTAAATATTTAGTTTGTAAACTAAATATTTACTTTGGAACTATGACATTTATAAATGTATGACTAACATAGTGAAAATATGACTGAAAAAAATAAAACTTTTTTTTATTATTAAAGGCTAAATAAACCAAAATATTGCTGTTAATTTTTGACACTGTAACTTTACAAACTGCACCCCATATGTATCTTGTACTACTGAACAACTTATCCATACATTTTGGGTTAAACATCACTCTTGTCCTTTTGACTTTCCTCCACGAGAAGCTGCGAGGCATCAGTTGACTGAAGGGTCATGCGTAGAGGACTTTCAGCCTCATTTGTCTTGCCCACTGCTCTCATCCCGGCTCATCTGTGGAGTGTTCTCCATCTCCGGGGCCCTTTACCAGCGCTGCTGTCACTGTCTCATGCTCTCAGCGCTAACAAGCATGCACTCTGACTTAGTAACTGTTGGTGCCTAATGGACTGGACTCACTGTCTCATTAGGAGGGGAACAAAATCACTCCAATCACTTAGTTGCCGCCTGACAAAATGGCCATTTGAAATTTCCTCTTGGTCTGTCCTTTTTTCCTCTCTCTGCCCTGCTGCTGTCCCATCAACCCACTTCTTATCAATAATTCACCAGTAGGGGGCCACTGCCGATGGAGTCTCTTCTTAGTTAATGAAACTGCAAGGGAATTTACTGCAGTACAGGTTGTCCCCAAGTGTAGGGACATTCCTACACTCTTGTTAAACAGCTGGCTGAGGAATGTGTGAGCACACAATGGTGATCTTCACTTGTCCCATATAAGAGCCCAGAATAAAACCTGCAGCGTTGAAGATATTTTAAGAGACCTCTTTAGCACAAGCTGTATTCTCTCCAAACTTGATGTTCAAGGCATTCAAGTATGTCTGTCTTTAAAGGTCTGCTTACCCTTTGAGGTAATTGTCCTTGGTCTGTTACGGTCTGTGTGCAGCCATGTCTGAAAAGATGGCTGTCTTTGACATTGCCTAATACATATCATCAGATGCAGCAGAGCAGCTCAGTACGTCTGATTCCTGCCACCTGACAGAGACCAACTGCTCACATACCTCACTGAATCCCGTCCAGCAGTCGCGTCTGTCTGTGTGTGCGCGCGTGCATGCCATTACCACGGTGCATCGCCAGAATACTGAGAGACTAAGCACCATGACTCATCTGACTCTCAGGACCTTGGAAGCCAGAGGAAGCATGCTGACTCAGAGGAAAGAGGATCTCAAACGCCATTATCGGAGAACTGCAAATATGACAGACGCACTGATTTGCTGAATCTCCTTTTTTTGCTGTTCTGTTGGCTTTGTCTGTCCTTTCCTGTTGGTCATTCCATGTCTCAATGTCACTCTGTCTTTGCTCCACAGTGATGATAATTTCTCAGACACTCTGAGTCAGAAAACTGACAGCGAGGCAAGCAGTGGCCATGCTGGGGAGAATAAATGCCCAGGGAAGGACATCAGCTCGTCCACTGATGCCAAGATTTCTGAGACCTACATCACCAGGTACATTTCTACCCTGCAAAAAAAAAAAAACAACCTCTATGCAAAATGGTTGAAACACGTTATTTAATTGGAAATTAAACAAGTAAAATTGACATTTGTAGTTGATGCCAAGAAGCACACACACATTTATAAAGGCTCTGTGTACATAAATAGCTCAAAATGAAAAATTCAGATCTTGTCGCGTCTCTCAGCCTACTTATCAATGCTGAACTGAAAGACTGAATGTTTTTATGGAGTATTTCAGCTGGAGGAATAGCACACACTGACACGACACATACATTTGATCGCACCTCGGTCTCTTTGGCAGCATTTCCTGGTGTCCTGCCAGTATTTAGTCTCCTCTCCTCAGCGGTGCATTTCTGCAGGTGGATTTAGTGACCTTGAAATGTCTGAGTGGTTCTCGCTCTTGCCAAACAAATGAACAACTGCTCTTTTATCCCGAGCCACACTCACTCCCTCTTCTTCAGCGTTGAAATGATGATTCATACTAGGGCCAATATTTATTCCACTGCAGCTACTGCTATGCAGAAAAAGCCCACGTGTGAATTAACCATCCTTTTAACATTAACTTTAATGAGCATCATACTTCCTGTCTGTCTACATCACGCTTCCTGTCACCTTGTCCCACGTGAGCCCCGCCTCTTTTCTGTTTCTTCTCATGTCTGTCTGCACTCACTTTGTGCTCGTCCATCCAGAGAATCCTCAAGTGTTGAATCATTTATATACGGAGCTTTATTTAGATATTTTCCTCTCCTGGTTTTCTTATTCAATCAGTACTTTCTCCAAGTGGATATCTGCATGTCAACAATTCCCCAACTCTGGGTCAGTTTCCTGGTTCGACTAAAAGGAACGTTTAGATTAGGGGTGTTGAACTCGATTACCAAAAGGACCCCAAATTTAAAGACTTTGTTTGAGGTACAGGCTACTTTCAGCAGATATATTAACTCGAGTCAGATACCTGATATATTTGCTTGGTTGCAGGTTCTTGAAAAAGAGTTTGAGCTGTCTCGATGTTCTACTCTTTCCACATCAGAATCAATAATGACAGAATGATCCAGCCATCGTTCTGGCTTCAAACTTGGCCAGCTGGCAAGAGAAGTCTATTTATCAGTTGTTGTAAAGGAAAATGAGAAGATATACAATATTTTGCATTTAAATTATCATCTCGGGGGACCAGGTTTGGCCCACGGCTCTTGAGTTTGACATGTGTTTTCGATAATCTTCCGCCTTGTGTTATATTATTAAGCAAAGGCAAAAGGGTGACATGCCAGTGTGGCGGTCTTGTTTGCTGTTTGTTGCCGTACACTTTGTCCCAGAAGAAGGCGGCTGTTATGAAAGTAAACTGCTCCACCTGCAGTCTGTAAGTGGTCCCTGCTCTTATTTACTCAAATTCGTTGAGCAATCAGAAAATCACATTTATAGTCCCTGTTATTTAAAATAATGCCCAGTTCTTCTTGAAGGCAGGTCTAACGTTACCTGCCTACTTTGCATTGTTCAATGGATCAATTCCCCTCTCGCCATTGGTTACTTTCAAACTAACGAACAAATAAAAAATAAAAAAACGCAATGTGACGTGAATGTAGTAGAAAGTACAGATACTTAATGTAAAATATAGTGAAGTAAAAGTTGAAAGTACCCATGTTTATCTCTACTTAAGTAAAGTACAGATACATGAAAAATATACTTAAGTACAATAACAAAGTACTTGTACTTCGTTCGTTACATCCCACCACTGATTATTTTAAAGTCCACGAATGAAGTTTAGGATTTTTACATGCTCAAATATTAGTTTGGATTAATCGGAGACTTCATGAATCGTATCAGTCAGTAGTTTTAACTTGGAAAATGATGCAACTTGGAAGATTTTTGGAGAAAGTGTGGCCTTCTGAAAAGAACTAATCATGTTCTTTAAACTCTCGTGGCTGTTTCCTTCCAGATTTGTTATTGCGCTTGTGCAGCGCAGTAATAAAGCTGCTTGTAAATCCTAATCATTATGGCTGAGACGGCACTCATTAGGCAGATGTAAACCCCCAAATTGAAGTCATTTATCTTCAAGAAATGATTAGGGGATGAGTGATTCACTTCTCGTTCATCAGATGGCTAATTAAAATTATTGATCTGACATATATGTTTCCAGATATCGTTGATTTAATATTTGAAGTTGTTGCCTTTATCAGAGAATGCAGTGCCAACTGCTTAAACGATTAATTGTATTATATCCTCGGATGTTTTCAAATAGAAAAATAATTGCAATTTTTAATCATCTAATGGCGTTTTGTTTTGTGCTTCCCAAATTGTTTTATGTATCAATTCAGTCATTAGCTGCTTGCTCAAAGAGTAAATGATGGTAGTGATGAAATGAAACATCACAGCTCCTAATAAAGACTTTTGTGTTGCTGTTAATAAAAATATAAAGCCTGTTAAAACCACACTTAGGTGGAGTTGTTGCTCTATTTGCATTTTTATGGCGCAATAGAAGATACTCATATTGCAGTCTCATACATGCCGAGTGAGTTTGTTTCTCAGAGTTAAAGGTGTGTGTGGTGTACCATGGTTCAGGTTCACACAGAGGACAGTTGTACTGCTATGGCAGCTGCAGTGTCTCCTAGGAAGCATGTTTTGGTGCTCTGATGAATCCCAGACCTCCCTCATCTGGCTAACAGCCAGATCCACTCTACCTCTGCAAAATAACCCCAGTGGAAACCAGAGGGGTATACTGCAAAGAAAAATGAATAGGTTGTTGGTTGAGGCTTCTTAAACCAAAAGTTAAAATGTTTTAATGTTTTATAGGCTTTTCTAATCGTTTCTTAGCCAGATCATCATAGTCTTTTACGCTGACTGACTGAAGCAGTAACGTATATTTAAGCTTGTTGAGCTGCACAGCTCTATTGCCACTAAAATAAGCCGTCAATTCAATCAGCTTGAGTCCAAAAAAAAAAAAAAAAAGGCTTTATCAAATTTAGTTTTCCAATAACCAAAATGCATTTTTAGACAATCTCGTTTAAGTGGATAAAACTTCAATTAGAAATTAAACTGTCACGTTGTTACTTATCAGAAACTGGGCTTGCATTGGTATGCAGAAAATAGCATAGAGATAGTACTTAATAGTAATACTTTATTTGTCCTACGTGCAGTTATTGTTTTATGCCAATATTTTTCACCGTTCAGCTTCATTGTTGCCTCTAGTTCCTTATTTTGACAGAAAGTGTCTGCACATAACCATAACAATCTGTTTGATAAAAACATCAAATGTACATTATCAGCAAAGCAGAAATAGACAAAGAAAGTTATTTTTTCATTCAACCTTTATTTAGACAGGTAAATCCCGTTGAGCCTCGAGGACTCATTTACAAGCGAGACCTATTACCGTCTCTGACGTGGTATTTAACTTGCTTTAAATTACAGCCCTCAAGATTACTCCTAAAGAGAGAATGTTTTTTTCTCAAACTGATGAAAGTGTGCAGATTATTCATGCCAGACTGCAGACAGTGCAGCATGACCGCATGGAGTCGAATTAAAGCAGCTGTTCTTAGCGGGGAAATAAATTCAATAATTCAAGGGCTGAAGTTGTTGAGAATATTTCAGTTGCTCCAAATCACAGATGTATTTTCTTCAACTCTTCACCCGTACTATGTTTCAAATATCAACTCTTTTCTTTTTGTTCTAGTGAAAGCTGAAATGCTATGAATAAATATATACGTTAATTGATTAATTAATTTTCCTCTCACTTGTTTCAGCAGGCACAGGAAAAGATCTGACCCACCATCTCGCCGGCCCCCCGCCCGCCCCAGCAACGTTCACTGCATGTTGCATTCCTCCCAGCAGGGCCACAGCGGGACTCCAGAGATGGGCTCTCCAGTTCTCGGCCACTTCAGCCCACGGGACATGCTTCGAAGTAATAACCACATGCACATTGACAGCCCTGAGCGACGGCGCCGGACTGGTCACGGCAGCCTCACGAACATCAGCCGCAACGAATCCCTGAAGAAAATGGAGAGTCCGTCAATCCGTCGCTCCACCTCTTCAGGCCAATACACAGGCTTTACTGATGGCCATCTTCATCATAGTGGCAAGTCCCTGGATCCGGAGACCATCGCACAGGTCAGCGCGGGACAAGCGGCGACCAGACCGCAGCTCCCTCCACCATCAAAGCCCTGCCCCGCCCTGTAAAACCATAGTCAGTCCCTGTCTTCTGCTTCCTCTGGCCGCAACTGGGTCTGTGTGCTAGTACATGCTAACACTAAGCTTCACAGGCAGACAGCAGGGCGCATAGCTTAAATATCATGGGACTCATCACTAAGCTGTATGCAAATCCTTAACTTGTAAAAAATATTACTGTAACACTTCATTTTCCGTATTCCTCTACTGTATTTTCCGGCGTATAAGTCGCATCAGTCAAAAAAGCATCATGACGAGGAAAAAAAAACATATATATATATATATATATATATATATATATATATATATATATAAAGTCGCTTCGGTGTATAAGTCGCGTTTATTTTGCGTCACCACTGACCCCCAGGAAACGTGGGCTGGTGTCGTGCCAAAAATCGTTTGGCGGGAGCGCACATGGGCGGACTCGCTGTTGCAGTTCTTCGAAATTTAACAAGATTAACAGTAAAAAACAATTATTTGTTTGCTTGACATTATAACAAAGGTGCGTCTCAGTTTAACTATTTCCTTAATAAATGCACTTTAATGGTCAATGTTTGGCAAGGGGGTGGCGGGGGTAGCAGTACAGGAACAATATATATATGCCTATTAGTAGTTGTCAAAAGCCTAGAGGGCCCTCTCGCACCTCTAGCGGCTGCAAATGGTAATGTTTACTCTGATTCATGTCAGTATGAATGAACATTTAGCGTGTCAGTCAAAAGTTGCTAAATGAATATGGAAAACAAAAACATAAATAAGTCACAGGACTGGCAAATTAAGCAAAAAACTGCAACTTGTATGCCAGAAAACACGGCAATTTGCCTGTATAAATACTGAAGCCATAAATGGCGTCTGTTTGGAGGCTAAGTTGGTGTACAGAGGTCAGAGAGAGCACTAGGCTTCCTGTCTGCCTACTGGGAGCATGCTCAGATGAGAAGTTCTTATCTTTGTCTCTCTCTTGCTGTAGCCATGCAGATAACTGCCACTGCAGAGTTCTATTTCTTCCAACTCTCCACGTGTGTGATGCATTCTGGGTGTTCTCCTCAGAATTTTCGTGTTCATCTACTAACACTTTTTGTGCGTTTTTCCACTTCTGTATTCTTGCCTTGTCCTTTCACTGTCTTTGCTTTTAATCTTATCTTCACGTTTCCTTTCTCCAGTTCTTTTAGTTTTTCCATTTCCATTTTTAATCACAAGCTTTCTCCTACTGATCACAATTTTTTTTTTTAACCTATTTTTAATCTCCGTGTGCCTCACGTTCATAACACTTTTTCTTTGTGTCCTGCAGGACATAGAGGAAACTATGAACACTGCTCTGAATGAGCTGCGCGAGCTGGAGCGGCAGAGCTCAGCCAAGCACGCCCCTGACGTGGTGCTGGACACCCTAGAGCAGCGCCCGACCTCTGGTAGCAGCGGAGGGGGTGCCATGCTGGCAAGTTCCAATGAGTCCCTGAGCCCCATCCACGGCGTCATGCTTAGGTCAACTGCCAACACTGAGCCGCCCATTCGCCGCAGCACAAGCTCCTCCAGCGAGGCCATGAGTACCTTCAAGCCCATGGTGGCACCACGCATGGGGGTGCAGCTGAAACCCCCCGCTTTGAGGCCCAAGCCTATGGTCATGCCCAAGTCCAACCAGGTCTCGCAGCCTCCTACTGGATCAGCTCAAGACCCCTTGGACAAGTCGTGCACCATGTAACATCTGAAACTGAAAAAAAAAAAGATGCAAAGCAAAAGTCTTGTGGTGTCGTTGGTAAAGTACACAAAACAGATACTCTAATAGGATCTGAGAGACCTCTGTAGGTTTTAGTTAACATTGTAGTCTTGTTTGTCAGACGGATCTCGTGTCTCAACGTTGTGCTGAATTTTGGGTTAAAATACGTCATTTCCAACATCTGATGTTTACTGAATAAATTTGAACAACAAATCACAGTTGCTTCCTTGCGAGTATAGAACATGTACATAATATTAGTTTAGTTTACAGATATTCATGAACTTAACTTGAACACGCTTCCTGGTTTACCACTGAACCTGACGAGCAGCCTGAAGAGAACTGGAGTGACTGCAACGACAAAACCTTATGGATGTGTTGGGATTCTACCTGGAAAGGCCCTTGGATGTGTTGTGAAGTGCTCCAAAGGATTTACTGACTTTGTTTTTTTAATATATAAATGATTTTAAACGTTCAGTTTTATAATGATGCTGTGACAACATGGGCAGACATTGTTTGAAGGTTGAATTGATCTTGTGCCAGAAGAACTCTAAACCACTTATTTATTAAAGGTACTGTGTTAATAGATCAATAGTACTGACATCTGTTTAATCTCTAGCATGTAAATTGCAGCTCTCTGTGGCAAAGTTTCTCATCTGTTGTGTTTCACAAAGAAGTGGAAAGATCGTTTCACTCAGAACTGCGTTCTGTAATGTCTGAAAAGAGATGAGGGGATCAGATAAAACCACTATTTCACTATGAACTTTGAATATTTCAATGCATTCTTAAGCTTCTGCACCAATACCTAATAATGTCTGTATATGCCTTTATATCTGTATAAACCATAGGAAGTAACGTGTATAGTTCTAATAGCAGTCACGTTATTTTGCAATGTGGACCACATGCCATAGCTTTTTGTATGCCTTGCTTGACTATATCCAAAGATCCAACTTTAAGCATGGATGTTTCTAATTCATATTCAGTAATGTGTATAAATTTAAGGTAGCATTCTTTAAGGGTGCTGCCGGTAGCCATGGACCTTATGACTGTTAGTGTAAAAGCCTCCTCATATGTTCACCTTGCTCCTTTTGCTTCTCTTTGTGAAAACGGCAAAGCAGCTTGCCTTCCTGTTTTCTGTCCAGATGAGCATGCCAGTTGTGTTTTTAGACCTGTGTGAATTGACTTTTTGTGGGTGAAAATAGTGAACTAGAACAATTAAGCAACATACATGTAAGTCTTTTAAGATGCAGTTCACACGAATGGTTGCAAACGAGTTGCATTTGTGACTTTACCACCTGTTAACGTATTTTTTAAACCTATGTACTATACAAAATAACAGATGGGTGCATGCAGTTGCAATATTTTTCAAATGGTTTGCTATGAGTGAATGCTCTCCCAACAGCAGGTTTACACCATGTTTGACTTGACAAAATAGTATGTGTAAAAAGTTGAATTCTGAATGACTAACTTCTATTATTTTTATAACTGTTTTTACTTTTGTTGTGTTTCTGGGAAGAAATCACTTAGAGCCTCGGCTGTTTTGGAAGCCGTTTGTATTCTGAAATGTGTGTTTTTGTCACCGTGTAACGTCGTTACGAATAGGACTCGTGCTGTCTGTAGGCTTTAAGCTCCTTTGTGGTGTTCTGTACATCTGTAGTATGTACTGTGAAAGTGCCTTTGAAAATGATTTAGCAGAGCTGCAGACGTCATGTCCAGCTGCATCTTCATATTAGATGCTTTGTCTTTGATCAAATGCAGTGTAGGAAGTTTTAGGACTTTGTGCTCGTTTTCAAACCGTTAAATGGCAGAACTAATAACAGCTTACACATTGTGACATTGCACTTTTATGTATATAACTGTAAATATGGCATGTAACACACATTTAGAGTTCTTCGAGAGGAGTATTTTTTTTTAATAAAGAAAATAGTTTGTCGAATCCCGAGTTTGATTTTTATTTCGTTACAGTTTGTACTGAGTGATTTTAAGATCCAATTTACCGTATTTTCTGGCGTATAAGTTGCTCCGGAGTTCAAGTCGCATTGAAAAATGCATCTTATGAAGAGAAAATATATAAGTCACTTTGGCGTATAAGTCGCATTTATTATGCATCACCACTGACCCATAGTGTTTATTATGCGTTTATTTAATGGTCAAAACAGCTTCATTTAGCCATCCATCCATCCATCACGGCCGGAGCCGCTAGCTCTCCAGCGTTCCTCCGCCTGCACCAGCTGAGTGAAGCGAGCAGGCACGGGAGGATTCGCTGTTGCAGTTCTTCAAAATTTAAAGCATCAGTGAAAAATTGCGTTATGAATATGGAGGGGAAAAAAACGTATAAGTTGCTTCGGCGTATATGTTGCAGGACTGACTATGCAAAAAAAAAAAAAACTTATATGCCAGAAAATACGATATTAACGTCATCACTTAAGAAGGCCTTGATCAGTCAAGACTACCAAGTGTGGGTACCTGTAGATGTGTGAAAATTATTACTGCATACATACAAAGTCCTCAACAACCTAGCTCCATCTTATATTACAGAATTAACGTATGATTCTCGACCTGTCATTGTGTATCTGTTCCTCCTTCCTGTTCCTCTCAAACCCAGCCGGTCGAAGCAGATGGCCGCTTGTCCTGAGCCTGGTTCTGCTAAAAGTTTCTTCCTCATGAGGGAGTTTTTCTGCGATGAAGTTAAACCCAAAGCAGTCTGTCCCTCAGATAAATAGTGTTAACTTTTTTTTTAATGTTTCTGTTCAGTGCTCTGAGATGACTTCTGTTGTGACTTGGCGCTATCTAAATAAACTGAAGTGAAATTGAATTGAAGTACTACACAATACAGTGTACAAAACATTCATTACCATTAAAAATGTGACCAGATGTAGCGTAGACATTTTGTTTATTGAACATTAACGATGCATTTCTTTCTTCATGATTTTGTGAGGTAAAAGTTTGCCTTTGCATCGTTTCTACGCTTTTCAGCCAGCACACAAACATGGGGTTTTCTAACGGGAAAACAGTTTATTATTTTTAACATCGCTTTTACTAAAGTAAACTTCACTAGAAGTAATGCTTTACTTTTCTAAGAATGGTTTTCTGCTATGTGTGGGAGCTTCATTGGAATTTGACCTTTAGCAGATTTACTTCCAGACTCTGTGCTGTTTGCAGGAGTAGGAGTGACCTTGTGCTTGTTTCTCTCTCTTGTGTGCATCTTCATGACCATCTGGTAAAAAAAAAAAAAAAAAAAGAAAGAATGTGTTGTTTTGGAGACTATATCACATTTTATTTTGCAGCTAGGCAACTCAATTATTGTTATTCAAATGGAGACAAAAAAATATAAATTCTCATTTTCTTACACAGGACAGAATCAAGCAGATCATTCAGTTGAGACACAAACTTGGAAAAAGTCCAAATATCAATTTACCTCTGCAATTCCAACCTTTCTCTCCCAGGTGTGAACGCTGTGCTGCAGCTTCTTCTGTTTGTCCTTGGCATTCATGTAGTCTGTGATATCAGGAGCCTGATAATCTGTGAGCTCCTTGCGCAGGTGTTGGTTCAGGCTCTCCACTTTTAAACAATCCTAAAGAAAAATTACATGAATTCAATTCAGTTCAGTTTATTTCTATAGCGCCAAGTCACAACAGAAGTCATCTCGGGGCACTGAACAGAAACGAAAAAGTGGAGGGCAGAAAACCAGAGCAAGGTGCAGACAGTATAAATCAATATTAATTAAAAAAGGCATATTTTATTGACTGATTAATTTGCCTTAATGTTAGTGTCACAAAGGCTTTTAAATACATTTGAAATTTAGTGATCCAAATACTACTTTAGATTATTTCGGTAATAAATTGTTTCAAGATTTAAACGGCTTGAAGTTTTAAATAATTTTAACAATTTACCTTCTCAGCTCGCTGAATCTCCTCGTCAATTTTTGCAAGCATTTGGTTTCTTTTGGTGATTTTATTGCTCAGTTCTGCTGAGTCTAACGTCTCGCTCTGCAGCTTCTCCTGCTCACAAAACATGACAAACAGGAGCCAAGATAAATTCCAGTGTAAAATATTACCTTTACACTAACAACAACTGGTGATGTTGATAGTCTCAGTGAAATTTATAGTCACCTTGTGTAGGGTGAGGGCACGTTCTACTTCAGAACTGCTGCGTTGAAGCTCATTATAGCTTTTGCCATCTCTGGGCTCTTCATAGTCCGGAGGAAAAGTCTATATACAAAAACCAGGACAATTAATTTTCCAACAGGTAAAAGTGAATTGATAATTTTATTTAAGATGAAAGTTAACTAAAGGACCCCTTTTTTTTTTTTTTTACAAATAAGCAAATGAAGAATTGTATTTATAGCAACACATTTTATGTGTTCCCTTTTTTTCCAGCTTGCATTTTCTACCTCAAAATCTACATTTCTCAGTTGTTCTTTCTGCTGGAGTTGCTGCAAGAGCTTCTTCTCTTGGACCTTCAGGGTCTGATTCTTCCGAGTAAACTTCTCCAACTTGGCCTGTTGCATTTGGTTTCAGTATGTGTGACCACAACACAAACACAAGACAGAGGGGTTTAGAAAAGAAGTAATAGATATTTGGTAGAAATAGTAAGCTCTACAGAAACCGTTTTTTTTTTTTTTTTTTTGCATATGTTGATGTAATTCAGCCCATCCATTTTTGTTTACCTTTGACCTGTCCTCAATGTACTGCAGCACCTTCTCTGGCTCCTTCATTTCCAGTCGTCTGTCCTTCATAGATATGAGCTGTCTGCGTTCAAACTCTGTCTTGGCCTTCCTGATCTCAGCTAAACGCAGTTCTGCTTCTTCAAGAGAGGCCTAAAGATCAAAGATGAACCCTAAATAAATTTAAGCATGTACTGTATAAAATTGGTGCACGTCTGTGTGTGCTGTAACCTTGTAGTTGTCCAGGATTTTTTTATATTTCTGTTGAAGTTCTTTCTGTTCTTGCCATGCATCAGTTACTTCTTTCTTTACCACATAAAGCTTTTGCTCCAAGGTCAGCAGCTGGGAATGATCTGATAAGTTGGAGCAGATCTTTTGCCTTGTCTCAACACCCTGAAAACATACACAGAATAATACAAGTTTGCTGATTAATGTTAAGTGCAACAATGTGTTCACTACTTATACTGCAACTGTGTTTGCTCAGTCACTAAAATTGGAATGTTTTGTTTAATTTTGTTTTTATTTGAAATCAGACCTATAAGCACAATGAATTATGTTATGAATTATATAATTCATATTAATATCTGTAAACAAAACATCAGCCATATCGTTATGACCTTTTTACATGTCTAATAATCTCAGGATTTTTGTTAAATAATTAAGCTAGATCTAATTCTCCATCAATGGTGCTAATGTTTAGCTTTTGTCAATAATGGGAGTTAATTGTTCTAACATAGATATTAGTACCCTACTCACCCCTTCAGCTAGTTGGGAGTCTTCTGCTGCTTTTGGACTTTCTCCTTCACCCTGAAGCTCCAGGTCCTGAAGATCCACGCAGCCAAGAAAGTGTTCAAACATGTCATTCTCTGCCAGGAGGGCAGCAATAGAATACCTTTGATAATATTAAATATATGGCATTAATAAAAGCACGATTGCATAAGATGGAACAATAACAAACTTGTATAATGTTTTTCCCCTTAACATTTTAGTGCAGTCTCCTCTGGTTTATGGACAATTATTAAAGAAAATACATGTTATATTTTAATAAAGGTTCTCGTTGCAAAATCATGAAGACTAGATGAAAAACAAATCAATCACAAGGTTAAAAAAAAACAAATCCACACAATATTTCCTCATATTGATGATAATGTTTCCTTAAATTAAAGATTTATGAGCAAGGTTTGTGATGGGATGTCAACAACCACTTGTGTTTATTTACCTTTGGAAACAGCCGTAGTGACTGTCTGAAAACTTTTAAAGAATTGCCAGCAGCATTATTTGTTTACCTGCAACTAGGTGAGTGCTTTGTTTACATTCAGTGTGGACCCACATTCAGAATTGTGTTTACCGGTAATATATTTGCACAATTACTGTGGTAAACATTTTCAAACTGCACCATTTCATATAGCTCCGGTATATTTGTCCTAGCTTTTATGTCTGAAGTCAAAAAGAGTACCTTTAAATGTTTAGCTAACCAGAACTGCTATTAGCATTAGCAAGTAGCGTTAGCATGTTGTACAAAACAAGCAAAAGTTTAAATTTAAAAGAAAATAGTTGATTTATTTTAACACGGAAAGTTGCTAAAATATATGCCATCTTCACCTTAGTTCTTCAACCTGGTTGTGATAAAGTTCTTCTTCAGTTTCTTCCTTGTCTTTTTCTTTCACCGATAAAAGCTCGCCCTCCATGGTTGCTATGATGCAAGTAGTGGTTGCTACGGACGACCGTGTGTTACCTTCGCGTATCCACGTAAAAATGCCAACTCATAAAATAAATATATATATAAAAATATTTAAAAAAAACGACTCTTAAAGTTTGTTATGTTTTTAATTGTATTTATTATTTTATAATAATTATTTATTTTGTATAATTAAAGTAATTAATAATTTTAATTACTTTATTTTGTATTTGAAGGGACTATGTTTAGTTTGTTTTTATTATGTTTAATTCAGTAGAGTGTCTTTGAACAACACCACCCTGTGTTTTGTTTTGTTAGGTTTCGGTTTCGTGTCTTCATAAAAAAAAAAAGGCGTATTGTTCTGATGTCGGCTGTTTCTTCAGCTACAGCTTCTTCTTCACTAGAATCCTCAGCATGGAGTCGGAGGTCTCTAAATTAATCACCGGGATTCTGTGCGACAACCACGGATGTCTGGACTTCGAGCAGCTCAATGAGCTCGCGCAAAATAATTTCGGCTTTAAAGTCGAAGACCTGCGGTCCATTCTTTTCGACGACGGTAAAATAGCGATTCGTGAGGGCATACAGCAAGTCCATGGCGAAGGCCAACTCCGTCCAGACACTCTGGTAGTGGCTAAAACCAGCCTTGGGCTTTGTCAGAAAAAAGTGTGCTCAAGTTGCGAAAGTTTACACCTGTGCAGGTATTTTGTTTGCGGAGGCTGCACGTTCAGGTAAGTTGTTTATTAAGACTTATTAAATGGGCTTATATAAGTTAGGAGCTTTAGAGTTTAAAACTCTTCCTCCAGTTGCTGAAAATTTTTGTGTGCGCATAAACTCGCAAACTGTTTTTCTGTTGTCAGTCTGAGCTTTGTCAAACTAGGAAATACTAGAAAATAATCAGAAATTAGTCTGACATGGGCCTATAGATGGCCTTTTTTGGGGCTAAAAAATCAGTTTTCATACAAAAGTTGTGATAA